CTGATCCTTCCCGCCCTTCCTGGGTTTTTATTTTGACTTGGGCAGTCCCCCCAATGCAGAAAACCCATCCCTGAGACTTGCTGTACTCACCCAAGCAAGTATAGTTGGAGGCCTTGGCTTGAATCTCGTAGCACCAGTGTGACTCTGGAGCAGAGAGAGGAAGGACATGACGCCTGTGTCAGTGCACTTGCGCACACACGTGTCTAGGAATAGACTGGAGCTGTGTGCACATAAGCAACACTGCGTGTGTGTGTGTGTGTGTGTGTGTGTGTGTGTGTGTGTGTACACAGTGGGTCAAAGACTAGGAATATCCCCAGGGTCAGAGACCCCCTTGGGTTGGGATGGAGCATTCCTGCAATCTGGCACTGCAGGCCCAAAGGAAGGAGACTTGAGGAAATACAGGGATGGGGACGGAAGTGGTAGAAGCAGCCAGACCCCAAAAGTCCAGACCCATAGCTGATTGACTGGTTATTGTGCCCAGGGCACTGGTCCTTGGGAAAAACAGCCACTCTTGAGGGGCCTTGTGAGGTCCTCTAAGGCCCTCACCTCTACCCCAGGGCCTGGCCTTGACACTCTCCTCCAGCTGCTGTCGGCCTCCTCCTCCTCCTCCTCCTCCTTCCTTGTATCTCCCACCCCAAACCTGGAAGCGAGGTTCTGGCAAGAGGACAGGAGGAGGATTAGTCCTAGTCTCCCCTCCTGGGACAACAGAGCCGAGTTCAGCTTGGCTGCCTTCCCAGACTTGATCCGGGATGATGGAGGAGATTAGACGAGCCCTTCCCTGGAACACGCGCTCTCGTGTGATTAAGACCCTTCTGGATTAAACTCTCACAGCCCACCAGGGACGGTAGTCGGGCCCTTTCAAACCCTGTCCCAACACCCTGCAATACTGGTACGTGGGGTCAGATTCAGGTTCTAATCTCAGCTGTGGTTCAGGGCTGGAGAACCAGCACCTCTGAGAAGAGGTTGCACGGCAAACCTAAGTGCAAGATTTAGCCACCAGGGGGGCCTGCCAGGGCGGTGTGCCTTGGAACCTTCTGTGCTTTCTGTTCAGTTTTTCTGTAAATCTAAATCTGCTCTACCATTATAGTCTATCAATTAAGTGGGGGGCGGGGGGAAGGCTGCGGCAGTAGGGTGGACAAAACATTTGATCCAGAGCTGAAATTCTTGCTGGGCCACTTAGGGGCAAGTCACCTTAATCTCCCTGAGCCTCAGTTTTCTCATCGGTCAAATGGAGCTAATAGCATCCGCCTCTTTGGACTGTGGGAGTTAATGAGAGACAGTGGAGTAGTCCAGGCAGCCTGTAGCACAGTTAAGTCCCCAGTGAGTCCTTCCTTTTCCTGGCCTCCCTCCCCCTGGCCTCAGATCAGTGTGCAGATGGCCAAAGCTCAGGCTGGGCCGAGAGGAGAGAAATGAAGTGAGCTGGAAAGAACTCAGGGATGAGAAAATTCCTAAGAAAAGCACAGCTTCCCACTCAGCCTGAGCTGAGGCCTCTGAGCACATCCGCCCCCTCCTCTCGGGGCTGCCTCCGTCCACCTCCTCTGGGGTCTCCGGAATGAGGCCAGGGTGGGGCAGGAGCCAGGAGGTGGTCAGGTTCTCGGGAGGGGACAATCAAGTTCTTGGGAGAGGAGGGGACAAGGGGTTCCAGGCCAGGGGACTGAGCATCCCCAGAAAACGGGGCACCTTTTCGCTCCAGGCCCCTTGGAGTCAGCTAGGGCTTTGCATTTCCAGGCTCTGGGTCAAAGGCTTCACCCGCTGCCTGCTCTGCTGCTCCGCCCTCTTTCAGAGTCTGCCAGATCCTGCAGTGTCTTCCCCATCACGGTCCACTCCCTGCCCTGGACAGGGCTTTGCAGCCCGCCCCCCATGGGGGTAATTTCTGCCTCCAAGGAACCCCCAGGTGGGTCAACTCTGCAAGGGGCTGCAGGCACTTCCCCACCTCCTGGGCCCCCCTCTGCAGATGGCCAGAGCTCAGAAGTTGGAGCCCGAGCACCTGACTCAATCCTGGCTCTGGCTCTTGCTTCATCTCCGAAGGAGAGTTCAACTTTCGCCAGCCCTCCGTTCTACCTCAGGCAGAGCGAACTGCCACTGGGCCAGCCAGGACTTTGCTCAGTGTCTGAGCAGACGATGGTTGGATGGAGCCCATTTGCAACCGTGAAAGCCTCCTTATCAGAATTCACCCGTATCTTCCCCTCTCAAAGGTCCTGAAGGCAGACAGGGCCTCCAAGGTTGACCGGAGGCCCCAAAGGAAGCTATTCCGGGGGGAAGCCTTGCTGAAGTCAGAGTCCTGAAGGGGGGACCCTCCTCTCAGCCTCCCCAGGGCCCATCTGGTTCAGGCTGAGCCACTCTCAGGAATGTGCTCTTCCCTGACTCTGGCTACAGCTCCTGGTTTTGTAATGATGACCTCTGGTTCACCGTCTTAATTGTGGAGACTTCTGACCTGTGCGGCTGAATGCTCTTGTAACTACCCTCTTCGGGAGGCAAGAACTAGGAAAACAACGTTGATGAGGCCAGAGGTCAGGTCTACGTCCCTGGGCTGAGGTGGCAGGGTCCCAAAGCAGCTCACGCTCCTGTATTCATGAGAGGGCTGCCCTTGCAAATAATGACAAGCCTGCTGTCTCAGGCAGCCTGGGAAGGAGAGGGGCTCCCCACAGACAGATCTTGGCTCCAAGCACCAGGTTCTACATAAGTGACCCGCCTAGGTGAACCAGGAATGCAGTTGCAAACCTCACAACTATCACCAATTACCCAGCCACTGTCCCTCACCCTCCACTTGCCCCCCTGGACCTTTCTTGGTGATCCAAGAAGTTCTCTCTGATGGACCTTGCCCACTCTACATTCCCACTCTGTGGGGAAGGAGGAATCCTGGAAACCAGCTCAGCAAAACCCAAGTATGTCCTGGCAAAGTCTCAGCAACTCCTGGCCAGGGTTCTGGGGCCTCAAAGAGTCCTAGGACTCCTCTCCTCCTCCCTCCGTGACAGCAGATGTTCTGGGTTGTCTGATGTGTATCCTGGTCCCTCCCCAGCCTCAAGTGTTCCAGGGGATGAAATGGGTGAAGGGAGACCGGTCCCGAGACAGTTTCCAGTCTGAAAGCCCCAGCACTTAAGGTGAGCACAGGTTGTAGGAGGGGGCAGCTGAGATAGATTCCTGGCTGGTTGGCCCCAGGCAGCCATCAGGCATGGGGTGTCTGCCATGCACCACTCAAGTACCACACCAAGCACTTACACCCACTAGCTCACCTGAACCCTTAAAACCCCTTAAGTCAGAATTACTATCTCTATATTGTGAGAAAACTGAAGTGAAGTGACTTACCCAGGGCCACACAGCTACAAAGCAACAGAATTAATTGTAAAGTGTTTCTCTTTTTCTGAGTCCAGCCGCTTAGGTAAGTTTCCAAATTCCGACTTTACATATGAATTTTGTCACATCCCATCTCTCCTTTTTATTCCTCTCCTGGGAAGAAGCCAGTAATTTCTGCAAGGTTCCCCTCATCCCCTCCAACACACGCACACACACACATGCACACACGCACGCACGCACACACACGCACACACACGCGCGCACACACACACACACACACACACCAGCTAAATCTTTCCTGCAAAAGGCACATACTCTCTCCTTCTCTGCTGCAGAGGGAGGGCACCCTCATCCCTTACTCCACGACTCCCAGAAGGGAGCATCTAGCTTTGGAGAGGATGTTTGGCCAGCTGGACCCCAACAGGGGACCATCGGAGGGGTAGCTGAGCTGGGGACTGGCAGATGGGGGGGGGGGGCTTCCTGCAGAGGAGATGGTCCCCTGTGGGGTCGTAGAAAAGATTCCTCCCCTGATCCCCGTGCCCAGCCCTGGGACTGGAGGCGCTTTCAGCTCCTTATCAAATATTAACACACAACTCCTGCCACCTCCCACCTAGGCGAATAATTAAGAGCTCGGCCACATCATTAATCTTTAAACGAAAATCACCCTGGCCGGAAAGACCGGCTCGGCCAGGGTCTCGGGTCTCCTCGTGTCCCCCCTGGCCACAAGCTCCCAATGTGGCGCTGGGGAGGGGAAAGGGAACGACCAGGAACCCAGGGTGCGAAGCGGAAAAGCCAGGGCCTCCCGTGCTCTGGGCAGGTGGGCAGCCCCTCAGCACTGAGCCCCGGCGGGACAGACAGCGACGCAGGGACAGGTTGAGGACCAAAGGCGCGTGCAGTGCCAGAAAGGGCGAGAACGGCGGCGTGCGTCGAGGCGGGTCGGGGAAGCATCCACATCACTGACTCGAACGCTCGCCGGGCTGAGCGCCGCGGGGCCCCAGCACCCCCGCAGCGGCGCACACGCGCGCACCCAGCCGCTCCGCCGCCGCACGTGGCCGTTCGGGAGCGCCCGGGGGTCCGCGTCCGCCCCGTCCGCCCCTCCCGCCCCGTCGCCGCAGCGGTGCCCACGCAGCCCGAGCCCGGCGCGCGCCCCGCGCCCTGCGGCCGGGGACGCCGAGGGGCCGCCCGCCGGGGGACCGGACGGGAGCCCGCGCGGTCACCTGCGCTGGCCGAGGGCCGGGCGGCGGCGAGGGCCAGGAGCGCAGGCAGCAGCCGCATCCCGCACAGGAGCCAAGACGCCGCCGAGCCGGGGGTCGCGTGCCGAGGAGGCCTCCGGGGGTGCCGCGATCATGCCGGTCCTGGGTTTTATAGCGGAGCTGCGACGGGAAGGAGCCCCGACAGCGGGACGCGGGTAGCGGCTCCTCCCCCTGGCGGAGCCTCCCCTCCCCGCGTCCTGTCCCTGCGCCGAAATCCTCCGCTTCCACCCCCTGCCGGGCCACCTTGTGCCTCGTGCCCGCACCACCACCACCACCCCGCCCCCGCCGCCAGCGCCGCTCCTCTCGCTCCTGCCTCCGAGAGCCGCCCGCCCCCATCACACCTGGTCTCCTGTTTGAGAACGGGGTGGTGACCTCGCGAGGTACTTGATCCATACAAGGAGGGGTGCCCGGATTCCTGCCTTTGATCGGTTTGGCCTGGACTCCCAGCGCAGCCCTCTCGCCTGAGTAGCCGTCCGCCGGGACCTTGGGCTGGAGGTGGACGGGTGGAGACAGCCTCCCGAGGATGGTGCAAATGAGGGAGGTGTGCTGGTGTTTCTTGAATCCGGTGTCCCCAAAGAGAGGGCTGGCTTTTCTCCCTCAGGCTGTGGTCGCTGATTCTCTGGGTCTCTTTTCTGTTTCCTCTCAGGCTGTTCCAAACTTAATTTCTAAGCAGACCAAAGACTCTTCTTCCAACACGGAGTGAAGACGCCCCTAAACCGCGGTGTGAGCATTTCTGCGAAGGCCAGAGGAGGGAGGGGGAAAGGCGAGGGGCAGGACTGAGAAATAGATCCCAAGGGGCTCAGGGAGAGAAGAGAAGCTTGTGGGGTCAGAGGGACCGGACTGGCTCCTGTTGAGGCGCCCAGACCCCTGAGATGAGGTGGGAAGAGAAGAGATAGGGGTCTGAGTGGACCCCTAGTTCTCTCATCTGCCAGGATCTTCAGAGGGGTCCAGGGAAAGGAAAGTTTCCTCGAAGGAAGCCCTAGCATTTGGGAGGACAGGGCTGAGGGGAGTCATAGAGAGGAAGCTGCCTCTGGTCTCAGGAGGGGTACTCAGTCTCCTGGCTGCCACCCCCCTGCTGCAGAGCCTCTAGACTCTTCCATGATGGCTCTAGGTACTGTGCGTCCCACATTGGGTGGGGGCTTCCGTAGGGGTTTGGAAAGCTTAGACTCCGGTAGGGAAGAGGGACAGGGAACCAGGCAGTGGGCCTGGGCCCCCTTCATCAACAGGAAGCCCCTGTTTTCTGGTCTAGTCGCTTCCCCATCCGCTGCCAACCTCTCTGCTCCCACCAGCCTTTGAACCTAGGCTAGGGACCTCTGATGAGGGATTGCCTCCCCTAGAACTCTCCAGGCAAAGGGCCTTCCTCTTTGGTGAGAGTCCTGGCTGTAACTACCACCGCCTGCACCCCCCTCCATCCTGGCCCAGGATCACAGCCTCAAGGAACAGCTTTGATCCTACAGAGAGGGGAGGGGGCGCCCACCTCCTCAGGTTTAGGGCTCTATTGTCTCCACTGCTTTTAAATTTAATCAGCAGCTAAGACCAGGCAGTCGGGGAGGGATTCCACACCCTACAGACTTTTCTGGGGCGTGGATTTATGTCCACAGGGCTATTCAGGACTGAAGAATGGAGTGGGGAGGAACCCTATTCCTGGGAATGAAATGCACTTCATGGGGTCTGCGTCACCCCAGGACAGGCCACTGACTGGCAGGAGAGATTGAAAACCTTTGGTGGGGTTAAGGGGCTACTGATCAGTGACCTTTGGACCCACCTCAAAGTCCATCCCCTTGGGGCCTCCCAGGGAGAAGAATGGGTAGGAGGAACTGTCCCCTAGGTAATCAGGCTCTATGCCTGTGAGTGTGCCCTACCCTGTGAGTGTGCCCGCTACTATGTGGGGGCGGGGGAGATGGGGCAAGCCAGGCTCTGGTGTGGTGTCCCCTCTGAGGCATGGGCTCATGTGGGAGGAGCTTAAGGATGGCCAAGTCTTCACAAATGTGCCTTCAGAGCCACCCCAGAGGCTGTACGTGGGCAATGTGGGAGGTCAGGGCGCAGCCTTATCATCTCCCCAAGGTTACACGGGGCAAGAGGCTCTCTACTTCTAGCTGTAACATTCCCAGCCTTATCTCCCAGTCTAGCCCTGCTGTCCTGGCTTGCCATTAACTAGTCACCTATGCCTGTCCAGGCCCAGGGCCCCACTCCCCTGGAGGCGACAAAGCCCTCATTCAAGCAGGGATCATTAGAGCAGGGATGGGTCCTGTCGAATCTCAGTGACTTACAGGACCCATAAATCCGTCAGCCCAGGCCCACTGGCCCCAGCCCTGGCGCAGCCTCCTTCTTCTTACTCTTCCCAGGCTCCCCCACGTGCCCTGCATTCGAGTCTCTGCTTTTCCTCTAACTCAGGCATGGCCTTGGGCAGCTTTCCAACTCCCCTCTGATTGCAACTTCCTCATCTATAAAGTGGGGATCATCACCTGGCCCTGTGCCAATAAATAGTTACTGGGAACCAGCTGTGAGCCATCCCCTGCCCAGCCCAGACTTTCACAACGTGCCTCACGGTTCCTGGGTGCAGCCACTGCCCCTTGGCAGCCTCCGAGATGAATCACAGTTGTCATCCTCTGGGGACGTGCACTCACACAGCCTGGTCCGGAGAGGGATGGAGGCAGTGGCCAAGCTGAAGGGCTCTGAGGACACACCACCTTGGGCTCCCTCTGGGGCCACCCATGTGTTCTGTGAGGACAGCTGAGACTTGGTTTCCCTCATCTGCAGAATGAAAATTATACCCCTGTCTTCCCCCTGGGTTGTTGTGAGAATTCTGTGACCTGCGCCTGAGGTGGACTGGCCCAGGCTGATACAGGAGCACATGTGACCATGATCTCTAAACAGAGGTCCCTTTACCTGGATTAAATCTGACCCTGGACAGGTGTGGATGTGGCCTCAGGTGGGAGGGGACACTGAGCTAGACCCCGGAAAGGCTCTTCCTGGACTCCTAAGACCCAGGAAGCCGGTAAAGAAGGCTGCGGAGGGAGGCTGGGTCCCAACTTCGTGGACCCAAGAACATGAGATTCGAATTCAGCCCTTGCTGGGACTCTGATTAGTGTGAGGTGGTCCCAGGGGTTCATAGGTCAGAGGAAGGACGAGCACGTATCCCTAAACAGAAAACCATCGCATCCATGTTCAGTTGGCAAAGTGGGCAGATAGAGTATAAGGCAGAAGTGTAGAACCAGCTTTGGAGCAACACTGCCCTCCATTCGCATCCCAGCCCCACCACTCACCCTTTACCTCCCTCAGGCTCCAGTGTCTTGGAAAACGGGATACAGATCACACCTCCCTCGCATGGTGTGTTAGGCTCCACCTCTGTGATGCTGAGTAAAGAGCCTTGTAGAGGTCTAGGCACTCAGTAAGTGCTCAGTAAACCTCAGCTGTAATTACTAGCCATTAAGCAAATGCCCTTGATTGTATAGGAGCCCAGAGGAGTGGCGCCTAACCCAGCCAGTGAGTGGGGAATCAGAGAAGGCTTCCTGGAGGAGATGAGATCCAAGCTGAGTATTAGAAGACGAGAAGACAGAGCCCAAAAAGGGAAGGGAAATCCAGCCAGAGGGAACAGAATGAGAAGAGGCATAGAGCACCGTGGATAGACTCCCAAGGAGGAGGTTAAGTGTGCAGAGAGATAGGATCGGGGAGGTATTTGCCATCAATCAGATGGATAGCACCTGTTTGTCGCGGTTGGAAGTTTGGACGGGTATTTACTTTGATGGGGCGGTAGATCTTAAGAGCCTGACTTTCTAGGTCAGGAAACCTCTTCAGAGAGGATCACACGGCCCTAGAAAAGGACAGGGATCCTTAATTACTCGAGTTACAGAAGAGGAAGCTAAAGCTCAGAGAGAGCAGTGATTCACTCAAGGTACCCAGCAAAGACAGCAGAGCCGAGATTTGAACTCTGGTCTCCTGCTCCTCTCCCCATACTCTTTCCATGCCATCTCACCCTCCCTCCCCACAAACACCCACACCTCCCATCTGTTGGGAACCCCAGCCTCCATCTCCCATTGTTTTCTGCACCCTCAGGGCCTCCTCAGATTAGCAGATAATTCGAGTCCAGGTTTGTGTCCCTGGACGTTAAGATGAAACCCACATGCAGAAGGCTTAATCAATATTCTCCTCTCCACCACTCCCCACCTTGGATCTCTGCCATATTCTAGCAGAGACAAGAGAGCCTTCCTGCCCGCATCTGCGAAAGCTGCTGTTCCTCTTCCCTTGTCTTCACGCCTACCCTGTTTCTCTGGTCTATGGGGAGAATCCAGGGGGAGAAGAGGGAGGGGGCAGAGAGAGCTAGAGGCTCTCATGGGGGCAGGGTAGGAACCTCCTTCGTGGACGGGTTGGTGGAAACTTCTTCCGCTGAACATTCTGAAATAGTAAGAGCAGGAAGACGCATGGGGGCATGGTCCAGCAGAGGGGATGACGTCTGTTCTGCTCCTGCCCTGCAGAGAGTTCAGGAAAACTCCCCCAGGGCTGTCCCCTCTCCTCTCACAGGAATCCAGGCTCACACCAGCAGGAGGCTGGGATCAGAGCTGCCTTGGATTTTCCAAGTGTACTCACTTACATTCTGGTTTTGTGGCAGAAGAACTCCGGAGAGGATGATGAGGGCTGAACCAGGTGGGGAGGAAAAGGCAGCCTTGGGGGAAAGGGGAACATTCCCTCCTTGATTCAGGATGCAGCCACCAGAGGAGAACAGGCTCTTTCAGGTGTGTGTGTGTGTGTGTGTGTGTGTGTGTGTGTGTGTTAGCTTCTTTGTCTCTGATTATCCAGATAATTCTTACCTTTGTAGACTATTTGGAAAGAAGCGGGCAGGTGTGTGTGTGTGTGCGTGCATGTGTGTGTGTGTGTGTAAATCACCAAAAACCTCTCTCTCAGAGGCAACTATTTTATAATTTGACATATTATTTTTTAAAAAGATTTTTATTTATTTATTTGTCAGAGAGGGAGAGAGGGAGACCACAAGCAGGGTGAGTGGCAGGCAGAGGGAGAGGCAGGTCCTGGCTAAGCAGGGAGCCTGATGTGTGGGACCCTGGGATCATGACCTGAGCCAAAGACAGATGCTTAACTGACTGGTCACCCAGGCGCCCCTCAATTTGACATTTACGAAAAAAATCTTTTAAAAAATGATTTTATTTATTTATTTGACATAGGGAGACACGATGAGAGAGGGAACACAAGCAGGGAGAGTGGGAAAGAGAGAAGCAGGCCTCCTGGGGAGCAGGAGCCCGATGTGGGACTCCATCCCAGGACGCTGGGATCACGGCCCAAGCTGAAGGCAGACGCTTAACGACTGAGCCACCCAAGTGCCCCAATTTGACATATTTTTAAGAAAAAAAATTTTTTTAACAAAATAATCATCTCCCCAACTTAATCTGTTTAATTTTTGTGTCTTCTCTTTCAGTCTTTATCTATATGCAAAACACTGTTGACAGAACGAACAGCTCAGTGTCATCCTTCTCAACCTTCACATTTCAGTGCAAACACGAGTCCACTTTACCTCATAGCCCTTCCAACTGTCATTTTGTGGTTCCAGAATGTACCCAGGCTGTCCTCAGCTGACTTGCCATCTTGCAGGGACATCTTTCCACCGGAGAGGTAGAGCCATAGACTGGGGAAGCAAACCAGGCATCCTGGTGCCTTCCCCAGCTCCTCACTGAACAGAACCACCGTCAGTTTGGGAGAGCAATGTGGAGGTGGGATAAGGGATAAAGCAAAGCTTGGTGAGGGACCCCAGCCAAGGGACCCTCAGAGGCCAGCTGGAGAATCTGAGCCTGGAGTCTAACTCTTTGACCTCCGGTGTGCCTGTAAGATAGGGAACATGTGCGAGGGTGGGTGGGGAGATGGGGGGATGCTCTGCGTAGATCTGGGGGGAAGAGAGGCAGTGAGGAAGAGTGTGCCCCTGGGTGCCTCCGCCCTGCGGTGTGTTTGCACAGCAACGGCGCCCTCTGCTGTCCCTGTGCTTCCAACCCATCAGGGCCTTTTACAGTTACAAGTTCTTCCTGGCCACTAACTAGATCCATCGGCCCTGCCCTGGTGTTTCTTTTTCATTTGGGCAGGGGGCATCATTTAATGACTGTGAGGTAGCATGCAGAAAGTTGGAAAAACAACTCTTTAGAGCCACCCTGTACCTGATTCCCAGAACGTTAGCCCGCTTCAAGGGACTTCCCACCACGACCCCCTGGAGCAACCTCATTTCACACCTGAACTACTCTCAGATATCAGAATGGAAACTGAGACAGGGCCTTGAGCATGTGTCAGCAAGAACCCCGCCCTAGCTCTTTCCTTCGGGTGTGGCCCCGGCTCCGCTGTGCCCTGGGGACAGGAGGAAGGTGTGCAAGCCTCAAATGGAAGCTGGGATTTAGCAAGGCTGTAAATTGCTCACCTCCTGCCTCTGGTAGGAGATACGTGTAGGCACATGCGGGAAGGTAAGAATAATCTGCCCGCCTCCTCCCTCACTCTGGCAGCCAAGGGAGGTGGGGGGTGAGTGGCTGCCGTAGTAAGTAATCTCAAAGTTAACTCTGAAATGTAGTTCAAGTTCAGTGAGCCCTCTGTGGGATGGGAATGGGCAAGGCTGGCTTCATGAGTGTGGGACTTGTGTAGACACAGGGCAGCTGCACTTGTTTGAATAGTCCGCTGTGGACCTCTTGACATTTTTTTTTAAAGATTTTATTTATTTATTTGACAGAGAGTGAGAAAGCACAAGCAGGGAGAGCAGGCAGAGGGAGAGGGAGAAGCAGGCTCTATCCTAGGACCCTGGGATCATGACCTGAGCCAAAGGCAGATGCTTAACCGACTGAGAGACCCAGGCGTCTCCGCTCTAGACATTCTTGACAATTTTTGAATGGGGTGCTCTGTGTTTCCACTTTGTAGCAGATATCAGGGTGGGGGTGGGGTGGGGTGCAATGGCTGGACCTCCACCCTCCTAGGGCTGGTCAAAAGCAGGCAGTGGTGCCTGAGAGAACCCATGGACCAGTAGCCCCTTCTCCAGCCCTCAGCTGGGTCACATTCTTCTGGACTCCACATGCTTCCAGTTCAAATCATGCACGTTATTGGACAGTGTGAACATGTCCTGGAGTTCGGGTCAGACTGTGAGTGGAGGCTACAGTAGGGGAAGCGGCTCCTGGTAGAGATGGGAGCGATCAGGAGCTTCAGCACTGTGAAAGGGACAGCACCCTTGAGGCGGAGGCTGAAGCCCTGTAGGGTTGGTGACAGCCCCACACCCTCTCTGGTTACCCTGGGAAGCAAGGCAGAGGAGTGGGCCCAGTAGCGCCAGGGCCACAAGCCCCAGAGGGTGGATGGGGCTCGGAGCCTATGCTCAGGGGATCAGCCAGAGTTTGAGGTCAGGGATGGGGGGTACGAGGGAGGGAGGGAGCCTGAACGGAGCTAGCCTAAGGAGGGAGGCTGGTGTTCTGGGACTGTGGAGCCAGGAGCTGGAGGCAGAGACGTGGTCCCACCCCTGGCGGCTCTTCCAGACTCTGGTTGCAGTGCTTGTTGTGACAAACCCTCCTGTCCCCGCAGGCCCAGGTGTGCGGCCTCCACCTCACACCTCAAGTAGAAAGGAAAGATAAGGACACCTCTGAGGAGAAACGGAGGTGCAGATGGGCTTTTCTGGGGGAGAGAGGCAGAGAGGTCCAGCTGTGCTGACTTGGTGACAGGGGGATGCTGTGGACTGTTTCTAGGAAACATGCAAATGACAGGGTTCAGATTCCATGTCTCATGGGAGGGGAGCAGAGCAGCGTCGCAGCCTGGGCCTCCTCTTGGCAGCCACCCTGTCCCCAGAGCCTCCATGGCTCATCGTGGGGCACCCCTGTCAGAAGAGGGAAATGAGTGGACAGAGGCAGAGGGGAGACACTTGAGGGCAGCAGATTATGGTCATGGGAGGGCAGGCACACCCATCTGCACCCCAGGACCAGGATGAGGCCTTGGACTTCCATTAAACACGATCCCATCTACAACACAAGGCCTCCGCTCCTTACTGCCATACACCCAACATGTCCCTCTCATCTCTGCCCACAACCACGCTCTAGACAGTCTGCCAGCGCCCGTCTGGGGGCCCCCTCCTGGCTGTTTCAGTCTCCTGGAATTCCTGATTCCATCTACTCACAACACTCTTCCGGATCAAGCTTGTACATCCCTTCAGGCCAGTGTCCCAACACCTCCAGCTGGGTGGGGTCTCCCTAGTCTCCCTAGCTTGGAGCCCTTGGCCCCAGCTCCCTACTCCCCAGGCAGATGTCCCTGGGTGTGGTTTTTTTGTCTCTTCCCAGATCAGTCTTTCCCAACCCTGAGGCCTTGAGCTCTGTCAGGTCAGGAGCCAACCAGGTTGGCTTCTTCCACAGCTGAGCTATGCAGCCGGAGCTTGGCAAATATGGGTCCGTGAACCAGCCTTGTCTTGCTTTACTCACTGTGGGTGGTCTCACTGAAGAAAGGTGGGTCCCTATAGGCCAGTGGCTCAGGGTCGCCCCAGGAGGATTTCTGTGCAGTGCCTGTCAGGACCCGACAGCTGGGACAAACCCAGGCTCATCCAGCTGCAAGATGTATTGGCAATGTTATGAAAATAACATGGTGGATCTCAGGACATTCTGAATTCATTTTACTAGGGCTCCAGGTCCAGAGAGGGGGCGGTAATTTGTCCCAAGTCACCCAGCGAGGTAGGTAGACCCAGACAATCAGAGGGAGGCTCCTCACCTCCTCCCTTGTCCTTGGAATGTGCACGCAGCTGCTTGCCTTTCCCACAGAGAAGCTGCCCAAAGACACAACCTTGAGAGAGTAAGGTGTTGATGAGACCATCTCGATTGTGCATGTGACTGAACCCAATGAAGGCCTTTCTGTAAACTCTTATGATTCTGTCAGTGGGTGCGGAGGTAAACTGACCATGCAGCCGGCCAAGACAAGCCTCATATGGAAGTTCCCTTGCTTATCAGACCAGAAAGGTTTGCCTCTTTCAACCTCTCTCCCTGTGCTCTGCATAGGGGGGCCTATTTCAGATTACACCGGGGAAGCTCCGGAAGTTTCAAATTAACAGCGTCAGAGTTTTTTTCTTTGCTTTGCTTTTCATTTCTTTTTTCTTCTCCTTTCCTTTCCTTTTTTTCTTTTCTCTTCCCTTCTCTCCTTTTTTCCTTTTCTCTCTTTGCTCCCTTTTCTTTTTTTAAACAGTGTCAGAGTTTTTCTAAGACATCAATGGATCGGGGAGATCACTTTCTACCCCCTGCCCACCACCACCACGACCACAGAAAATTTGATCCTTTCGCTGCCCAGATCAAGCCAGAAAACACAATTCTCAAACTTAGCTCTAGTCTCCCGGTTCTGGTGTTGGTCAAGTGCAACCATGCTTTACTCCCAAAGACTTGAGAAACAGCAGTGCTGCTCTACTGGTGATGCTGGCCACGAGATGGGGGCTGCTGAGTGCAGACTGGTTCTGCGCCCCCCACCCCATGTGTCAAAGGCTTACACTGGCAGAAAGGGCGCTGGAGAGAACCAAGCATGGGTAGCACAAGGTCAGCATGAGCTGTGGGGAAACACGAACACAGCTGGAAGGTCCTCAAAGGGTTACTCATGGAGTTACCATGTGACCTGGCAATTCCACTCCTAAGTCTTTACCCAAGAGGAGTAAAACACATGTTCAGGCGAAAACTTCTACATGACTGTTCATACCAGAATTATTCACAGTAGCCACAAAGTGGAAATAATCCAATGTCTACCAACTGACGAATGGATAAGTAAAACATGGTATGTCCATTTAGTGGACTCTGATTCAGTCATAAAAAGATAATTCTAACATATGCTACAACATGGAGAAAACTTGAAAATCGTGAGCTAAAGAGAGGTCACCAAAGATCACATACTGCATACTTCCATTTATAAGAAATGTCCAGGGATGCCTGGGTGGCTCAGTTGGTTGAGAGGCTGCCTTCGGCTTGGGTTATGATCCCGGCGTCCTGGGATCGAGTCCCACATTGGGCTCCTTGCTCGGCAGGGAGCCTTCTTCTCCCTCTGCCTCTGCCTGCCATTCTGTCTGCTTGTGCCCACTCTCTCTCTCTCTGACAAATAAATAAAATCTTTAAAAAAAAAAAAGAAATGTCCAGAACTGGCAGATCCAGAGAGACAGAAAGTGGATCCGTGACTGCATGTGGCAGGCAGTGTTGAGGGGGAAGTAGAAGTGACTGCTAATGGGTAAGTGGTTTTTTCTTTGTTTTTTGGGGCATGGTTTATGTGGGAGGACTCACCCACCCCAGTCAGACACAGAGCCCATGAGTGGTTTAAGAGAGAGGGCCTTCCTATTACTTGGAAAAGCTGGCTCTTTCTGGGGGAGGTTGGGTGGAAGCCCATATTTTTACTGGCTAAGCCCTTATGCAGTGCACGGACTACACCATGTCCATGGTCGTGCTCCTTATCACCCCAGGCCATGGCCAAGCTAGTCTCTGTGCAGAGGTGAGGTCCTATATGAATTCCCTCTTCCTGGTATATGGTCTGTGCCTGTCCAGCTGTTGGGTTTGGTGCAGAGGATGTAGGGAGTGTGGTGCTGTGTAGGCCCTGCAGGGCATGGGCCAAGAAAGCCTTCAGAAGGTAGAGAAAGCAGCCCAGGAACAGCTGAGGACAAACCAGGGGCTTGTTGACTGGATCAGACACTTAGATAGACCCTCCCAGCCCTGTGATCGGGGTCCCCAGGCTAGGTTCCTCGTGTGTTCTGGGATGCCCCATTTGATGACCACACTTCCTGTGTGCCAGCAGCCATGTCGGCGCTATGAATGATCCATCTCTGCTCTCTTAAAGCTCAGAGTCTAATGGGTCACAGTGGCCATGCCTGGGACTGATGCCAGGGCAGGCACAGGGCACTAACTAAACCTCGGTGTCTCGAGAGGTCCTTCTGTGGCAGCTGATGGTAAAGCTGGTGTTATAAGGAGAACGAATTAACTAAGAAACTGATGTGGAGGATGGGACCGAGGATAGAGTTGAGGGGGGCAGTGGTTGAAAAGCATTTAAAAAAAAATGAAAAAGAAAGGCATTCCAGAAGGTGAACAGTATGTGCCTGGAAAGGCTCAGAGAAAAGGAGAGAGTGTGGGATATTGGAGGAAGCCACAAACTGGTTCTGGCTCAAGGCAGAGATTGGGGATGTACCTGGCAGGTAGGAACGGGCCAGATCACAGAAGTGCTTGTGATTAGGACATCCCGATGACCATGCCACCAGCAGTGGGCAGGGGCCCCTCACCGTGTGTCACCCGTGGCCCCTGAGATCACTTATACCTACTGATCTATTCACGTGTTCCTTGTGTTGTCTTTGCATGGGCCTTGATGCCCTGAGCTGCCCTTCTCCCTCATCATTGGGACTTTCTGCCTGCTATGGGCTCACAGAGGGGGGCAGAGGAGGGCATGGACCACCTTGGGTATGTACGGGGAAGAGTTTACTGCTCTGTTCACCTCCCAGCATCGCATTCCCTAACCTCGTCCTCAGGCACCCTGGTAGTGGGTTTCTTCTGGTTCATGTTGGTCAAGTGTAGATGTTTAGGCTGCCAATCATTCAATTTGGTGGGAGAGCTCCTACCTTGGCCTTTGGGGAAACCCTCTCTGGTGGTGCCTCAGTTTCCCTCATTCTGCCAGGCCTGCTGGAGGTGTTTGGATCCACGTTCGTCCCAACAAGGGCTTGGCACAACTGTGGTTCAGCTCCTGCAATGAGAAGCTGAAGCCACGCTCCCGGCTCACCGCCTGAGGGCCCAGCAGGTGTGGGATGCACCTGCACCTGCACCTGCACCTCCTCCAGCCACCCTACCCCACAGCCTCGGGGGCTGACGGCAGTTTCCTTCCTCATGGAGTGTCGTGTGTGTGCTTGGGTGCCTGGCAGGCTGGCCAAAGGGAGTGCATGTTGGTTCTCAGGGGAGAAAAGCCCTCCTCTTGTCCTCCCCAGGAGGACTCTGTTATTGACGACCTGGAGTGGGTGTTACTTACCATGATGAGCAGAGGTGTTTGGATTTGACAGAGGGAACAAAATCTGCTCCTTGATGAAGGAAGGAGATGGAGAGCAAGCTACAGGGAGGAGGGTGTCACAGGTAGCTGAACACCATAGGTTGGTCCCTGGGCTTTCTCTGGGGCTTCTGTGACTGTCCTACGCCCTCTCTTGCCCCTCTGTCTTCCCGTCTGCCTAGAATGGGCCTCTTGGAGTCACTATGTCATTCAGTGGGACACTTGTCCCCTTGTGCTGTGCCAGACAGACTGAGGAAACTCAGGTCCTGGTAGGCGAGGAGACTTACAAAAGGCCCTTGTAAATGTCAGAGGTATGACTTGAACCCAGGATTCTCCATCCCAGTCCACACTGCCCCATGTGGGACAAATCACTTTATAAACCCTCTTTTTTCTCATCTGTAGGACACAGACGATGCTGTCTGTCTCCCCAGAGATGGGGCGAGGACTAACATTCATGGTTTCATCAAGGGCATCGACTTCCATATTCTACCCTCAGGCCTCCCCCTACAGTCCCACCCACGCTGGCCCGTTTCCAGACAGGGCAGGCCCTGCTCCCTGGCGCTGTGACCGCAGCCTAAGCCCCAGGCCCCTGCCCTGTCCTCACACTCGGCATCACCTGTCAGGTGGCAGGGCTGGGCTTTGTCCTCAGAGTGGGCAAAGCGGACGTTGCCGAGGTGCAGCAGTCCGGCCAGGACCTGAGCGGGCAGGAGAGGACACGGCGTGAGCTCTTTCTCCGGGGCTGGATCCTCTCCCGGGAAGGGCCCATCTCCTGCTGAACAGAGTCCCAGTAACAGGATAACTGACTGACACCCCCTGACAAGGGACCCTGCCGGCACAATGCAAGCAGCTTGTATCCATCACTGACTAGAAGGGAGGCATGTGCTGTGACAGCGCCCACCATACCGATGGGGCCGGAAATAGTTAAGTCACCAGCACAGACCACACAGTCACGGAAGGAGAAGCTAGGATTTGAACTTAGGGCAGCCTGACTTCAGCTGACTCTGGGACGCTCTCCTGGCCTTCCAGGTGTTCTTCTTGGTGGGGCTTTGGTGCTCAGGAAAGCATGGCCTGCCTGGTCAGCTCAAGCCAAACTTCTGCAAAAGAATCCCAGCAGAGGGGCGAGCCCGGGCAGGCTGGCTGGGTGCATTCTGGCCGACTCGGGCTGCGTGGGGCTCCCCCAAAACTTCCCTCTCAGGGTTGGGCAGCCAGGGGAAGGTAGTTCTTGTGGGGAAGTGCCACGGGAGCCTCCGGTTGGCACTGGTTCCTTGTAGATCTGTGGGTGAGAGAGAGCCAGTGGCAGACCGAGGGGAGCCCAGGCCCATGAAGGCGTAAAATTGTGTAGCTAAGGTGTGGGAAGAGTTCTGGAAGTATCTGTGGGGCAGTCAGTGTGGACACTGCAAAGAAGCATATAGACTGCAAAAAGCATATAACGTCTTTCCTGGTGACAGCAGCCTGGATTAAGAGGACAACTCCCACCCTGGGGAGCTCACTGTCTGATGGGGGAAGTATGGCCCTTCACTGGTGGTGCAAGGACCACCCTGGTTTCTCCCAGGGCACCCAGCAGCAATCCAGGGCCAGAAATGTAGCAGGAGCAAAATATTTGCCCATGAACAAGCCCCCCATTTTTTTCCCCTCAGCCTCAGTTTCACCAGAACTAGGGGAAACCTGGCTGCGTGTGTTACTGCTCCAAGAGCTTCAGAAGGTCATGGCCAAGGTGAAACCACTGACATTGGCCAAGAGATACCTGCGCTGATCTTGGGTATGCATGAATGAGGGACCATACTGTTCTGTCCTATTCATGTTGTACAGGTGGAGCAAAGGACCCAGACAGAAGAGATGACTTGCCCCAAGCCACACTGTGAGGTTGGGGGTGCGGGAAGGGGAGGACCAGGAATGGTGTTCTTCTAGGACCTGAACTGTTCCAGAACAACTTCATAACACGCCTTGGAATCTCGATCTCCCAACCACCCAGGAGGCAACCACAGAGCAAGGTCCTCCAACTCGGCAGACGTCCCTCCTTCGGGTCCAGGACCTCCCACGCATCGAGTGCATGATGCTTGGCTTCTGGGTCTCGAAGACCAAGCAGGACAATCGATTGGTTTTCCCCTCCAGGTCTTGCTGAGTGCGCATTGGCTGTGGTTTGGAAACCCAGAAAAGACGGTGCAAGCAGAGAGCAGGTGGAGGCGGGTGCCCAGGATGTGGGGCATCGTGCGGCATCAGCACCGCCTGCAGGAGGTACTTGAAGCCCGAGTGCGGGGTCCTGTCGCGGGGACAGGGGTCCCCTGACTCCCCAGTGCAGTTGGTTCTAAGTCTGGTCAAGCCCGCCCTTTACGTTGCCCCCTGGCTGTGCTCAGAGGCCCTGTGGTCTCCTGCTCAGTCTCATTAGTCTTACCTGCTCTTGTAGCTCCCCCATTGAGAAGCCCTGTTTTTCAGAAGAAATCACAGCAAGCAGCCCTCTGTGCCTAAAGCAGGGTTGGGGGGCATCTAGGTTCCTGAAGGCCTGTCTACACTCCAGAACTCTGGGGGTTTGCCTCCAAGCATATTCCCGTTCTTCCTTGGTTGCCCATAATATAAGTAGCATGGCGGCCTTGCAACATTCACTACCAACCCCTCCCCCCACCGCCGCGTCACCATTTCTTCAGCTGGGGAGGGAGATAAATTAGAGTAATGAGATTTGAAAAACAAATTGCAACACCAAAAAAGCCATGTTATGTAATGCAGTGCCATTTTACAGAACAAGTTGTCAACAAAAATAGGACTAGTTAATTCTCTGGAAGCGAAATTAATTAAAAATTCACAGGAAATGCCAGAACACTTCGCTGGGAGGTTTTAAGAAGTAATGGGACTTTGGAAAATTCCTCGCTGTATGGGTACAAATAATCCAAAGCTAAAGCTCCGGAAGTGCAGGTTTCTGCCAGAGTTGGGGGGTGCAGACTGCCTGCCTAGCCTCTGCAGGGGCTGAGTGGGGCCGGGAGCTCTGGTGGGGCATTCTCTCCTGTGGTAGTCATATCATGGATAAATTCAATGGAGGATTGGCAAGCAAAAAATAAAAGAGAGGAGGAATTTCAAAAGTGCAGGCAGTTCCATTTTCTTCCATTCCAGAATTGAGCCTGAGATTGGGGGAGAGGGTCAGGCCCCCAGCTGGTCCCAGCTTCTTACACCTCTTAAAGTGCAGGTATTTATTTCTCCAGGCTTAAGGGCAGTTGGAGGTGTTCGTCTGTTTTTAAAATACCTTTTGAGGGGCACCGGGTGATTAACTTGGTTAGTCATTCGACTTGATCTCAGCTCAAGTCTTGATCTCAGGGTCATGAGTTCAAGCCCCACGTAGGGCTCCAACGTGTGTGCAAAGCCTACTTATAAAAAAAAATAGAATATGACCTTTATGAAGAAGCATAACACAACCTTCAGAGAAAAGAATATTACTTCAGTGGCTGGCTCATCTGGTGGGTGTATGTTTCACAATTTAAGAAACCGTGGGACTCTCTTCCAGAGTGTTTGTACCATTTTACATTCCCACCAACAGTGTATGAGGGTTCCATCTCCTTGTGTGAGGAGGTATACCTGGTACTTTTGTATCAAAATGAGAAATGCTGTTGGTATGACATAAGACTCAGTATGTTGACATTTGTAGATGAAACTAAAAATCACCTATAACCTCACCCTCCCCCATGCTTTTGCTGTATTTTCCTGCAGGATTTTTTCTGAACACTCACAAATGGAATGAAGGGTGTACCATCACTGAGTCATTCCTCTGCTATCAGATACTTGGATCGTTTCTGATTTTTTTTAGTTTTTTAAATAATATTGCTATGAGCATAATGCTAAATAAAGTCTTTCGATTTGGTTATTTCATTAGGAGTGGAATTAGTTCATTCGTAGAAGTAGAATTATTGGGGGCAAAGGCATGAAGGTTAAGGTTAAGCTTCTTGGTGCACACTGTCGCAGAACCAGTAAGGTCTATATGCACATTTACGTGTGTGTGTGTCCTGGTCAAATGGACATATGAAATTAGCTATCATGGAAGTGAATTACTGATGCATTGCTACAGTGTGCATTAAACTTGAAAACATGGTGCTAAGTGAAAGAGCTAGTCACAAAGGGCCACATATTGTGTGATTCCATTTATATGAGATGTCCAGATCAGGCAAATCTATGAGACAAAGATTAGTGGTTGCCTAGGGGATGAGAGGATTTGGAGGTGATGACTAAGGGGTGCAGGGTTTCTTTTTGGTTTCTTTTTGGGGTAATGGAAATGTTCTAAATTTGCCACAGTGGTGGTTGCACAACTCTGTGAATATGATTAAAGCCACTGAATTGTACGCTTTTTAAAAATTTTTCAATGTAAGCTTTATTTTATTTTTTAATTTTCAATGTAAGCTTTATGCCCAGCATGGGGCTTAAACTCACAACCCTGAGATCAAGAGTTGCGTACTTTACCGACTGAGCCAGCCAGGTGTCCACTTTAAGTGGATGAATTATACAGTATCTGAGTTATATGTCAATAAAGCTGCTTTTAAAAGGGATGCCTGGGTGCCTCAGTCAGTTAAGCGTCTGCCTTCAGCTCAGGTCATGATTCCAGGGTCCTGGGATTGAGCCCTGCTTCAGGCTCCCTGCTCGCGCGGGAAGCCTGCTTCTCCCTCCGCCTCTGCCTGCTGCTTCCCCTGCTTGTGCTCTCTCTCTCTCTCTTTCTGACAAATAAATAAATAAAATCTTAAAAAAAAATAGAGTTGCTAAAAAATATACCAGTCACTCATTGTAGCCAATAGAGTGGTATGTTTGATATTTGCTGGGTGTCAGCTCGGTGATCTTATTTTTGTCTGTGCTTAAAAATTATGAAGTGGCCTTATTTTGTCTCATTTTATCATGGTCTCAGAGTAACTTTATCTGAGGTTGGTATTGTTGATTGCTTATGTCTATCAGGAGAAGAAAATACTTGGCTCTGTTTGACCAGTTCCTAGCAAAGCTGAGGTCTAACCGTGAATGTCAGATCAATTGTGAATGTCAGGGGCTGTGTTTTTTCTTCCTCAGTAGACACTGAGAACCTCAGTGGGAGCCTCAGGGGCCCACAGGAATGCAAGTTAGCACACTTGGGAAGGCCACAGAAGCTCTGGTCCCAGCCTCCTGCTGGTGTGAGCTTGGGCTCATGTATGTGGGGCTTTGGGAGGTGGGGCCCCTAGGCTGGAGGAGAACATATGCCATCTGTGTTGTAGGGACTATTTGTACTTCCTGTGTCTGCTGCTATTTCAAAGTACTTAAAGGCAAAATGTTCTTTCACTCACTCTGCTGAGGAGGCCCCGTCATACTCCTGTGACCACCTCTAGCCTTCTCCCTGCTTTGTTCACTCTTCTAGGATTCCCTCAATAGCCCATGGAGGAATTGTAGGGTTGGAGTGAAGGGGAAGGGAGGGGAGCAACAGCTTTTTCAGGCCTAGCAAGAAGAGAACTTTTCCTGTTTTTGCTCTCCATTGCTGTTGATTAAGCCTTATTTTGTGTTGGGTTTAATCTCCACAGACACCTGGGGTACCCAGAATCCCTGCAGACCCTTCCTGGAATCACTGCCTATCAGAGGATGCAGAGGTTGGGGGTCCCAGTGAGAAGAAGGCAGGGAGATGGCATAGAAGGAGCACTAGGAGTTTCAAATTCCAGCTGTGGTTCACTAGGCCTGAGGGCCTAGCATATGTGGGAGGCAATCAAATCTGGAAGACATTTGCACTTTCTCCAGGCCCTCACCCTTTCCCATGGCCTTCCCAGCAGCATCCTTTCTTCTTTGGACACTGTTTGAGTCCTTGCCTTGGCTGTGGGGCCAGCCAAGGGGTGGCACATTGGCCCTCAGGCCACATGGGCCCTCCTCCTGTCCCCTAGGATTATGTTGTTGAGAGCCTAGAGTGGTGGTATTTTAACTACCATGGTAACCAGAGCTGTTCGGATCCGACTGAGGGGACCTCTGTTAGCATCAACTCCTTGATGGATAAAGTGGAAGGCAGAGGACGGGAAGGAGAGTGTCATAGTGAGTTGAACATCAGAAGTTGGTCTTTAGGCTTTCTCAGGGGGCATTGGTGACTGTCCCATGCCTTCTCTTGCCCCTCTGTCTTCCCATCTGCCTAAAATTGATTTGCTAATATCCAGTTTGCCTCTTGGGGTCATTATGATGCCCATGGTGACATTAGTTATTGTGCGTTGCCATGGAGGCCACTCTGCGGAGCCCATGTGTTCATGGGTGGTGGGATTAGACCTTCTTATCTCCTGGTTGAGTGTCCACTCCCTCCCATGCAGGTGTGTGCTGAGCAGCACTGCCCATCTTTAGACACTCACCCAGGGTGTACTAGCAAGCACCCTGGATAAGGAGAGGGGTAGGTTTCATGAGTCAAGCAACATGATTCACTCTGCAGTGCAATAATCAATTTTAAGAATTCTCATTCTTGAATGGTTCAACAGTCCTGAGGCCACTGCCTGCCCTTCCTCCTGGTGTGAATTCATCCTTCCACTAGTACACAGTCCCCTGGGGCCTGGCAAATTATGTCCAGCCAGAATGCTCTCAATACCCTGGAGATCCTCAAACTGAAGTTGCTGGTGTTTGTAAGCACCGGACCTGTGTACTTTCATGAATCTATGAAGAGAATATTTGCTAGGTGCTAACCGTATGCTCAGCAACTCTGGAGTGATCTCTCAAAACCCTTTTGCCTCAACTAGTACCTCATCTCTCTTCCAGCCAGAACTGAGACCAGCTGATGCTAAGGAATGAGGGTCTGCCATGAGGGTCACCCATGGGATCCTGGGGCAAGCCAGGGCATGTGTGGGTTTGGTCATGAACACCAGTGCAGTCTTCTGGCTGCTCTTTCTGGGGTTCTATTGGCCCTCTTTTCTGGACTAATTTCTGCCCCAGGAGCTATATATATGCAGCTTCTTTATGCTACCCAACATTACTATCATTGTCATTATGCTGTGCCATTTACTCCTCTGGGGACAAGATTCTAGACTCTAAGTTGCAGAGCCCTTCACCGGGAACATCTGGTCTCCCCCACCTGCCTGGGCATTGGGTGGTGGGGGGAGGGGTTGTGGGCATCCACAAAAGTTGGGGGTCATCCAGAGTGGAGGGAGAAGCATCTTTACTGCAGGGAATGTATACAGGAGGAATTCCAGGGATTGTCTCACCTCATCGTCTTCAGGTAGCAGGCCTACCGGGTTTGGATGCAGGTGGGAAGAATAGAGTTCCTGGAACGTAAGGGGACCCTCCCCTGGGCCCAGTCTCCCCGCACAGCTCATAGGACAAGCGGGGAGAGGGCAGTGGAGATGCCCATAATGCGTGAATGCCTACTTACTCCGGAATGGAGCATGGGAATTGAGTACAGTCCACTTTCCTATGCTGAGCAGCCCCTGAAAACATTGGCCCTCCCTGGGCCCGCTCTGGGAAGTTCGGACCTCCAAGTCGATTCTCTTTAAGCCTGCTGAGGCGAACAAGCATCCTTGTGGATTATTAGGCCCGTGTGAACAAGGCCTGGAGTCCGCTGGTTTGGGAACGGTGGCTGTAGGTAGGGATGGATTGACTATTCTCTGTTCTCCGGCGGCAGGGCCCAGCACACTTCAGCACCGCGGGCTGGACAGCGCCTTTCAGGGCTTGCTGGTGGCGCGCAGCAGGGACGGCTGTCCTCTCTTAAGCAGACCTTTCGCGCGGAAGGAACGAGACAGGAACAGGACGGAGTTTCCAGGGTGGGCCCAGAGCTGGGGCTGGGGTGAGGGGCAGGGTGTCCTTGTCCCAGGGCAGCGAGGCAGGTGTCACGTGACCCAGCGCCACCAATCCGCATTAGCCAGTGCCTGGACTTATGGCATTATGCAAACGCGAGGAGAAGCGGCTTCGCGGGGATGCTGGATCCCTGCCTAGGAAGCCACCCTATCTAGCAAACGCTACGACCAGCGATGGGCCCAGGGAGGGCTTAAGAATCGCCCCAATCCACACAGCGAGGCAGGGGAGGGCCAGCACTAGGTAGGACCTGAAACATCGGGAAAACCTCATTTCAGCTCAAACCTGTGAGAAAAACCACCAAACAAGCAGCCCTAAATTTACCTGCTATGGGCCTGGGGGCCCTCAGTCTGTGTCACCTCTCCACTAATTGCCTTTATCATAGCATTATGCTGCCGAGCCACGACGTCCAAACATGCTCTCAAGGTCCTGGCAGCCTTGGGTACCTTTATGGACACTGTCCTAGGGGTGGCTGTTCCCAGAAAGCCAGCCTTGAGGCAGCAAGACAGGTTCTCAGGTGACATAAGAGGAGAATGTGACTTGAGAGAGCGGTCGTTTCTCAGCTACCAGGAGAACCAGAACTATTTGGATGTGACTGGGAGGAAGCAGTGCAGATAGGCGCTGTTCCTTCTCTGAGTAGCGGAGGGTTCGGGTAGAGGCGGGTGGTACTGCGCCATCAGCTGAGACCTGTAGGCAGTGACGCTTTAGCCTGTTCATAGGATCAGAAAGGTCCAGGGGAGACCCCAGTGCAGGAGGGGGCACTCTTTAAAAGCTATGCTAGTTTTTTTTTTTCACATTTAGTTTTATTGTAACAAAGCAACTTGTACAATTTTAACGTTTAAAACTGAGCATCCTCTTTCCTTTCCAGTGAAACAAAAAGAAAATTTAAAAATAAATAGGAACAAAATTACAATAGAGAATGTCAATTCCAAATGGGATCCTACAGGTTCTGCTGATTCTCCCATTGAATAGCAGGGCTCAAGTATTGTTAGGAGAGAGTTTTATTTTAAAAGTGTCATCTTAAACTGCAAGGATGTCCTTTAAACATCACAATTAAACATGCCAAAGGAGAAGCCATGTTGTCAAAATGCCCACTTAACCCACCCAAACGTCTCAAACCCACCCTTTGCTGACCTTCTATAGCCCCATTTTTTAAAGTTCTTTTCAAACAAGAGAAAGTAGATAGGTACATGTTGGTAAATGGTAACTGTCCATATTCACATAGAGACACAGTGTAATCTCTGAGCCCAATACACAGAGAAAGGAGGAAAAAAGCTAGAATTCTATGCACTACTACACAGGGGCCTAGCACCCTCCAGCTTCCAGCAGAGCTAAGGGAGCAGATTTTTCTTTTTTCCCACAGAGCACGGTGGTGTTGATTCCATAAGTTTTTGTTTTTGTTGAGACAGGAAGGGACAAAAATGAATTTGGAACAAAAAGGGGTAAAGATTCTTTTCCCACTGAAATTCTGCTCAAGGTATTCCCCCCACCCCAATAAGCTGAGAACCATGGTATAAAGGGAGAGAAAAAGGAGACTTCAAAAAACAGGGCAAATGAGCATGAGAGGAGAAAAGAAAAAGAAAAAGAAGAAAAAAAAAGACAGCAACTTGCTCCCAGGGACTGAAGAAAATTTAAAAAGGAAAGTTAGAATCCATCAGTGTTCCATCAGTCATCTTCTCCATCCTCCGATCCTTCCTCCCCCTCATCATCATCTTCATCTTCACCTTCATCCTCATCTCCTTTTTTTTTTAAAGATTTTATTTATTTATTTGACAGAGATCATAAGTAGGCAGAGAGGGAGAGAGGAGGAAGCAGGCTCCCCACTGAGCAGAGAGCCCGATGCGGGGCTCGATCCCAGGACCCTGAGACCATGACCGGAGCTGAAGGCAGAGGCTTTAAACCACTGAGCCACCCAGGCGCCCCCCCTCATCTCCTTCTTCATCAATATCTTCTGATCCTTCTTCTTCATCATCATCATCTTCTTCTTCTCCTTCCCCTTCTTCATAATCCATATTGGGAACCAAGTAGTACTGTAATGGATTTGGCCAAATACCATCTTTGAGGACCTCTCCTAACTCATCTGTGCCTGCATCAGAACGGTCAGTAAACCAGGTGAAGAAGCTCTCTGGTTCGTCATGCTGTCTCTTCCTGCTGGCTTTATTCTGTGTTTGACTTGAACATTTCATCAGATCATTTCCAGATTTCCATTTGATTTCAGTGGACTTTGAAGATGGATCACCACTCTCATTCAGATGGAATTCTTTGGAGAGAACTTTATTTTCGAAGTAAGGGTTTTCATCAAAACAAAACTCTAGGGGTGCCTGGGTGGCTCAGTGGGTTAAAGCCTCTGCCTTCAGCTCAGGTCATGGTCCCGGGGTCCTGGTATCGAGCCCCACGTCGGGCTCTCTGCTCAGCAGGGAGCCTGCTTCCTCCTCTCTCTCTGCCTGCCTCTCTGCCTACTTGTGATTCCTCTCTGTCAAATAAATAAATAAAATCTTTAAAAAAATAAATAAAAATCTATTCTGTAACCTGATTTAATATCTTCCAATTCTGTCACTTCAACTCTTGTCAAATAATGCAGCATCTCTTCATCCTCCTCCCCAAGCAGTGCCGACACTAGTGGATGGTTGACAAATGTTGTTACCCCAAAATTGGGGATTTTGGAGATCCATTCTGACCTCTTCTGAAAAAATGGTTGGTGGACTTTGTTATATTTCTGTTCTACTTTCAAAATCTCACTGGCTTGTTCATTAAGTCTGTCTGTTTCATCTTGTACTTCATCAATATGTTCAGTTGCTTCTTGCTGTTCTTTTTCTCCCTTACGCAAGTGCTGAGATGTTGACGTCTGCCCTGGCTTGGGGACGGGAGGCAGTCTCAGTTTCTTCGTTTGAGGCGGGAGCGAAGACTGGCGTTTGGGGGCCATGCTGTGAGGAAACTCCACGAAACCAGGAGAGGGGCACGTCTGGAAGCTCCGATTGCTCGCTATGCTAATTTTTAAAGCTTCTTGTTTGAAATACTTAGAAACTTTCTGGAGAAGGTGGTTCAAAGAACTTCAGTAAACCCATTGCTCCTCTTCAGCTCTTGTTAATGTTTTGCCAAGTTTCTACTATTCTCTGTTCTCATTTTCTCCTTCCCTCCCTGTCTCTTGAGTACACACACTCATATGTGTTATTATCACTGTTATTTTGAACCGCTTGCCAGTGAGTTGTATAGGTCTTATCTGCTTGTAGTCTGTGAAAGAGCCCGGTCACTGGGCACCACTGGGAGCCACAGCCCAGTGGGGAATCAGCCTGATGGGGTAGGTGGGGATCTAAGTAGAGTGATCAATTTATTGGGGACACGGGGGGAGCCTGGATCTCATGGTTTTCATCTCCTCAATGAGCCTATGGAGTAGGCTGTTTGCATCCTTCAAAAGGCAGGTAACCGCCCCCCCCCCAACTCTGTCAGGGGAGGTGCCCAACCAGGAGAGGAAGCCGGCTCTAGTCCCTACATCAGTGAACAGCTCCCATTCAGGGGCTGGAGCTGGGGAGGGGGCTGAATTATCCTGCTGCCACTTCCTGACCACCACTGACCATTTTCAGCAGCGTGATCTCTCTTCAGGAGGACCAGATTCTTGGCATGGGGCTTGGAAGTAGGAAGTGAGTCCCGTCTAAACATAGTATGACACCCACACGGGCCCTATTGAGACAGTCTGTTTAGTTTTTCTCGAGTCTGGGGCAAAGTTTTGTCACTTTGACTCCCCCCCCCCACCTCCCTCTTCTTCATGGCTTACTTCCTCTTCAGTGTCTCTGGCCTCTGGCTTCTGGTTATAATGGATTTTTAAAAAAATATTTAATTTATTTATTTGAGAGAGAGAGAATGAGCGAAATGAGGGGGAGAGGCAGAGTGAGAAGTGAGCAGGAAGCCTGACATGGGGCTTGATCCCAGGACCCCGGGATCATGACCTGAGCTGAAGGCAGACGTTTAACTGACTGAGCCACCCAGGCACCCCTGCTTATAATGGATTTTGTTGCTGTTTATCATCTGCAGTCTCCCCTTGGGCAGCCTCTGTCTCCAGAGAGGCACTGGGCAACTGGTCAGAGCACTCAGGTAAATTCCAAGTTGGAGGTCCCGTGAACGCAGGAGGGCAGGCAGTGGGATCCACTGGGCCTTCACAGGGCTGGCAGGTCTCATCTACCTTTTACTCCTATATAGTGGCAGTGAGAGGGCCAGGTGCACCTGGCCTCATAAGCATTCACTAGGAGGCTTGGGACTCCAGGTTGGAAGGTCATCCCACTCACCACCAAGCAGTCTTTGCCACCCTGCCCAGGGGAACCCACAGCAACGGGGGCTCCAAGCCAGTCCAGGTAAAACCACAAGTGGGATGGCAAGACGCCTCGGAATGGCCAGATCCTGAGCTCCTCAGAAAATGCCCAGAGGGAAGAACAGAAATGGTTAGAGGCAGGAATGACAGGAGAAGCCTGTGCAGTGCTGAGGGGGCAAGAGCCAGCCATCTCTTCAAGCTACAGGTGGTTCGAGGGTTATTTCTCAAGGTCATTTCTGAGTTCTTTGGTGCTGACTTTAGGATATAACCTTTATGGAAAATATATTCAAACCTTTCCTGGAATGCTGGGCTCAGATCAGAGACAGATACCTAACAGCTCTAATGACATTTAAATTTTTCTCTTTTTTCTGTTTGAAGCTGAAATTATTAGCAGCTAGTTCCTGGCTTACCTGGAAACATATCTGGAGGCTGCCGGTGGTTGCTGCTTTCGCCGACTCTGCATAGCGCAGTGAGTATCTGATTATCGGGCCTGGGGAGTTAGGGAGGAGACTCAGCCCCATAACAGGCCTGAGGTGGAAGGATGGCTCTGTCACAGAAACCTGGGTGACTTCAGGTGAGTCACTGCACCTCTTGGGCCTCATATTCCTCCTGTACATGGAATCCAACCCACCCTGCAGCCTTCCCTCTGGGAGTTGTCTTAGGCTGTGGTGCTCCCAGGACCTGTGCTAAGGCTGCACATCTTCCTGGCCTCTGTCCACGCCCCTTACAGGCTGTGTCCACTGAGCATCAGTGAACTCAAAGCCCAAAGTGGGATTGGATTTATCACATCAAATCCTGCTTGGAAAGCACAGGTCCATTCGATGGAGATCCATTCTAGCCGGAGACTTTCCATGGGGTTATTTTAATTAGAATTTCTTCAAATGTTCAGATGAATTAGGGGATAATTGGCATTTTGGGTACAGAGGATTAGCATCCCATTACTTAGGTACTCTTTGACGTTTTTCTAATTGATGGGTAGTTTCCTCCATGACATTTTATGATAGTATTTTTACAGATTCCCTACGAGCTCTTTGGAAGAGAACAGTGCGATCACTCAGGGGAGGCCAAAATGAAAGGTGACTTAAAATTTTGGCTGGGGAGGAAGTAGGGATTTGGCACAGAGTTACTTTTGAAAGGGAACCAAACCTTAGTTTTTAATAAAGAAAACATTTCCAAATGATAAAATCTTTTATGTGGTTTACCTTAATTATACAAAAAACCCAAATGTTTAAAAACAACCATTTGGCAGTAAGCAAATGTCATGTCAAGTTTTCTTTCCACAAGGAATTTGTCGCCTTGAGTAGCCCCATATGTCTGTGGAGATGGGTGAAGGCTTGAATGGTTAAAACATTTCAAGGAGCACAGGTCTCTGTAAACTTCAACTGGTTCTTGCCTAGGAACACGTTCCCTTTTCTCTAGGTCCTTTGAGAGATACACACCCTTTTCTCCTTAGTTCCTCTGACCCCTACTCATTTATTGGGCTGATATTTCTTAGAAAATTATCACACCAAAATTTCTCCCAAAAGGAGGAAATAATTTTAGAATTTGATGGTAGTGATCAAAATAGCCAAACCAGGAGAATTAAATGGCCCTTTGCCGTCTCTTACTTGCTCCACCTCTGACCCAAGTCTGGGGACCCTGATTGTTTATTCCTATTGGGTCAGCTACCTTCCTCTTTACAGGCAAAAACCTCAACTGATATTGGTAGAACCCGCAGCACACACCCCATCAAGATTCAAATTAAGGTTCCACTAAAAATAACCATGCTTTGGGGCGCCTGGATGACTCAGACAGTAGAGCATGCGACTCTTGATCTCAGGGCTGTGAGTTTAAGCCCCACACTGGGTGTAGAAATTACTTTAAAAACAAATTTCTGTTTAAAAAAATTAAAAGTAAAGACAAGACCTCCAGAAAGACTCTTCCACCTCT